TTGCTTTACTATGGCTGCTTCTCTGTTTGTTAGTGCAGTTCATGCAAAAATACTACTGATGTAACCTGCTGTTCTATTCATGTCAAAGATTAAAAGTCAATCAATCTAGATTAGGAGCTCCTGGCAGCTCCACCCTCACCCAATAGTTTCGATAACCAAACATCCTACAAAATAGCTTATGTACGTTACTGTAATTACAAATCATATCAGGGAAATGAGGGAAAAGAATATAAGAAAGGAGGGTGTGATTTTTTTTCTTGTGCTAAATAATTCATTCATGATTCATCTTATAATTCGGTATACTTTCTCTAATATCCTCTTCACTGCACATTAAATAAACAAATGAACACATTTAAAACTACTCTGACAAACATTTAAAAAACAACAACAACTAACATTTAACCTGACATGCATTGAAAATAAAGCCAAAACAATGGTTGTTTTCCGTTTTTGCTGTTGATTAATTATTTTGTGTTTAATATTTTTTATTTTTTACTTGAAATGTATTACAAATATTCAGTGGCTTAAAAACTTTAAAATAAAACATTCAATGGCTTGATTTGACCATTTATAACATGTTTTCAATGTCTGAATAAGTGTGACAACTAGCCCCGGTCACCTCATACCATGGTAATTTTTGCTGGTGTATTTACATAAATTATTAGTAGTATTATGTAACACTTGTTTGACAGTCACACAGGACACGCCCTTGCAGCCCGATACATTCTTAAGGTTAGTCGCTATATAATGTAGCTGTAACGACGTAAAGGACTTTACAGCAGCATCAGCAGCACTTACTGAACATCTCGTCATGTCGCACGCTCCGCCGAACTTCTCGTGGGTCGAGCCTCACAAACTCGCCGGACTGGCCTGTCCTTCAGAAACTCAGCATTACAAGTTCCTGGTGGAGAATGGCATCAGACACCTGGTGTGCTTGTTAGAATCCAAACCACCGAAATGCGACACGTGTCCAGAGCTCATCCTGCATCACATCAGCATAGTGGACTTCACTCCGCCGAGTCTGCCTCAGATCCTGAGATTCCTGAGCATCGTGGAGGAAGCCAATGCTAAAGGGGAGGTGAGGGAGGAACGCTTTTATAGAACAGGTCCATCGAAATAGAAGTCTACAGCTTCATTTTCACACAATATTTACAAGTTAGACGAGATGTATTTTGTACTTACGATACTTACACTATTATATGACAGCATCCGTTTCCTGTAAATCAAAGTTCTCTTCCGCAAGGGGGCGCTTGGCGGCCAAACATCCGAATACTCCATTGACGGTTTTTTTTTTTTTGTATTGAAGACATTACCACACTAAAACGAATAAAAGTATAATGGTTCAAATCTCTTTATTTATTTTTTGTATTGTATATTACCAGCAATTTCTCTAACATGATTTAAAACAACATTCTTATTCTGTAACCATAAACGGCTCTCATTGGTCAAACCGAACAGCGCGGAGAAAAGAAACAGGTACCACGTGACGCCGCCGAGTGGGAGCTCCTCTTGTAGCGTGGCCCGCTTTCTTTCTTATATTATGAATCCGTAATAATTGATCTAGAAATCGAATTGAAAATATATAGCAAAGATACAATATAGTACAATTATGCATTTGTAGGCTATTTTAGACAAAAGCAATTTGTATTTCCTTTTGTTTAAGAAAGAGATCGTTATATTAGTTTAATATCTGTAAAATTAATGTTTTTCCGCAATTAAAATGTGGGCAACTAACACTAGGCCAAAAACAATTTTATATAATTATAATGCTTAATAAATTATAAGTAGCTTATTGAAACGGAAATGCTATAAACATTTATTTCCAAATAAGACCTATATATGTTATCTCTCTCTCTCTCTGTAAATAAATATATATATATATATATGTTTACACACACACACACTTTATCAGTTTGTGTCAACCAAATTTGTAGTGTTTTCATAAACTGCTGTCAGCCAAATAAAATCTGATTTTGGTTCTGTGCTCCTCAGGCCGTTGCAGTTCACTGCATGCATGGTCATGGCAGGACGGGGACCATGCTGGCCTGCTACCTGGTGAAAACAAGGCACATCTCAGGTCTGGAAGCCATCAAAGAAATCCGACGCCTTCGAAAAGGGTCCATTGAGACAAAAGAGCAGGAGAAAGCAGTGATTGAGTTTCATAAATACATTCAAAACTGTTCTCAAAACTGTTGCCAAAAACATTAACTCCACACCTACAATTCTGTCTGTACATTGACAGCTGTCTGTGTGATCCGCATTTGTGCCGTCACACACCCACAGAGAATTAAGGTCATGTTTATAACTGAAGTCCAGTTAATATTGAACAGAATATGTAAATTGGGTCAAAAATGCTTATGTTTGTATTCAGATCTACAAACTTCTCAAAAAATGCATAAAAAATAAAATTAATCGACAATGACTTGATTTCACCTTTTCTTACATGTTTTCATTTTCTAAATTAAAATCTATTGTGATTTTTGTCGGTCAAAGTAGAAAGTGTTTAGTATAACGGTCTTGTATTGTAATGGAAAAAAGTAATTAAAAGGCTGAAATTATTATTAGTTTTTTTGTCAGCATAATCTTATTTTCTTTCTTAAAAAGAAGTGAAGCAATATATAAACTACGATAATCCCTACAAAATATATTTGCTTTTTTTTTTTCATTTTAAACAATATTACACATACATACATACATATATAGTGTATATATATATTATTTTTAATTATTTAAAATAATATATTTCTCAGATATTGAAGTATATAACCTCAATAAACCTTCAATATTGTATCAGCATAATCAAAAAACAAAGTGGGCTGTTACACTCACAAACATACATTTATTCTCACAAAACAGACAATTTTTCTGCTTATTTGTAAAATCCATATTTATTTATGATTTACAAAAGCCTATGTAACAACCATTAAAATGAATCAAATGAATTAATCTTTAACCTAAAATGAAAACACGACTGTGTGTGTATATGTGTCAGTTTATGTTTCTCAAAGTGGCAAAACATGTAGGATATTGACATTACCCTTATGCATCATTTGATTTACAAAGTCTGTGTTCTCTGGAAAATGATTTACACAGTTGCCAACAGGTCTAGACTATAAATGAAAAGACGCAGGTGCTTCAAACTGAAGAGACACGACCGGATCCTCCATTTATATAAACATCTGCAATACTGTGGGCTGAGGGAAGCCGTTTAATGCACAACCAAACAGCGGATAGTGGCCTACTGTGTTTAAATCTCACGTTTGTCGCTCATCCATCAAAATGAACCTGCAGATTCTATCCAGACTTATAAAAACAAACAAATCTGTCACTATGTCAATAAGGTTCAAATAAATACCTGCTAATCAAAAGTCTCCTGCATCTCATTTGCACAAAACCTCTTTATTCAAATCGTCTCTTTTTATTAACATTATACTACCATCAAACTTTGCTTCGCCAACATCAGCTGGCTACTGCGTCACATCGCCCGGTGCATTTAAACACAAAAACTCCTAAACATTTTATAAAAGTGGTAAACCTCAGTGTTCTTACGGAATGACAGACTTGCAGACGGTGCATTAAAATAATCAAGAAAAATGACTACACTCTCAAAGGAAATTCACAAATGGTGCTAACAAGGTTGCTCGTTTTCCGAGCAAAATCATTTTAATGCAGACACGAGATTGGCAGAAAGGTGCCTGTGTATCCACGAACGCGGAAGAACCAGCTGGAAAAATAAAAGAATAAACAAAAAACGCGAGCCTCCTATATAAGTTTCGTTCACACGCTACTGTTGAGCTGTTCGATAATATTCGGGGACCAAAGCGGACCCCTATTCTGTACTGAGAGTGGTTTACATTGGTCTATTATATCGGCACTTACTTTCAAAAGAAAAAAAAAATAGTGGAAAGATGTAGAAAGAGAATAAAATAACGCCATAAAATATCCCACATTACTGCCTATAAAAAAAAGAAAAAAAAAAAGTAACATTTCACAAACAAAAATATACCCCCTTCATGTCATTTCAGTTTTCTTATTAATATAATTAAAACAATTTACAGTGCTTTATTATAATATATCTTTCAAGGGAATTTATGGAATATCGTCTCTTATTGCAGCTAAATGATACTTAATCGTCCAGTTATTCAATGAAACCCAAAAAGAACATTTGGAAATGACTGGGAAGCCGTAGCTGGATGTGTTTTGTGTTTTTTTTCTCCAGGGATGGGTCACATATTTGCAATTAGTCCTGCTAGGGCTCTTCGCTACTGCTTTATGTTCAGTTCGTTCTCCAGTTCCATGAGCTTCCGGGACGCTTTCACTTTATTCGACACTTCCTTTCCCTGTGAGAAGAGTCTCTGGCGCTCCTTAAATGTCAGGCTTTCTGGAGCTCCTCCGACTGAGTTCTCCTGATCGGGGCCGCTGCAATTAAAAGCAATCATTTGTTAGCAATGCGGGATTTAAGAAAGAATTAACCTGAAAAATGAAAATGGAATCATTTACTCATCCTTGTGTATCATTCCAAACCTTATTTTCATGGAATACAAAAGGATAGAAAACTTCTCAAATTTCATCCATTTCTGCATTTAAATATGGCACATCAAACTGTATCATGCCAGATTTGATGTTATGAAATCATAAAAAAAAAATCAAAAAAATCAATGACAACAAAATCTGGCATAGAATTGAATTAAATGCAGACTTGACCAGACAGACTTTTCCTTATACCATCAGAAGACTTGAAATATAGCACAAGTAATCAAAATTGTCTACCTCTATGGTATTTTAAAGGTGTTTTGTGTCATTTTCGAAGCTTGACAGTCCCAGTCCCCACTATATACAAAATATCTTCCGCTAAATATCATCTTTTGTGTTCCTCAGTTAAACAAATCAAGTTAGGGATGGGTCACATATTTGCAATTAGTCCTGCTAGGGCTCTTCGCTACTGCTTTATGTTCAGTTCGTTCTCCAGTTCCATGAGCTTCCGGGACGCTTTCACTTTATTCGACACTTCCTTTCCCTGTGAGAAGAGTCTCTGGCGCTCCTTAAATGTCAGGCTTTCTGGAGCTCCTCCGACTGAGTTCTCCTGATCGGGGCCGCTGCAATTAAAAGCAATCATTTGTTAGCAATGCGGGATTTAAGAAAGAATTAACCTGAAAAATGAAAATGGAATCATTTACTCATCCTTGTGTATCATTCCAAACCTTATTTTCATGGAATACAAAAGGATAGAAAACTTCTCAAATTTCATCCATTTCTGCATTTAAATATGGCACATCAAACTGTATCATGCCAGATTTGATATTATGAAATCATAAAAAAAAAAAATCAATGACAACAAAATCTGGCATACAATTGAATTAAATGCAGACTTGACCACCAAATAATGACTTAAATTTCAGACTTTTCCTTATACCATCAGAAGACTTGAAATATAGCACAAATAATCAAAATTGTCTAACTCTATGGTATTTTAAAGGTGTTTTGTGTCATTTTCGAAGCTTGACAGTCCCAGTCCCCATTATATACAAAAGATCTTCTGTGGTTCTTCTACCACACCCACAGCTGTGAGCTCAGTTTGGTGAAGGGATAATGATGTTTGTGGAGGCTTACTGAAAAACACCACAGCTTACAGTCCAACCCAAGCATGTCATCTTTAGTTTATATGCATCATATAAGCACAAACGTTTTGGGTTTCAAAACACATTCCAGGTGCATGAGTGCGTTCCTCACCCTTTTGTCCACTTCTCTCGCGGGTCTTTGTAAATCTCTCCTGATCCTAGTCCTGTTGTGTTTCCAGTGTATGAATTAAATCCTGTTTCAATTTTGTCAAATGTAAAAACAACGTGAATTTCACAAGAAACATCAACAATGTCATTTCAAGAGCGATTAGCAAGATAATTGCAAAAGCTGCTGGGCTCATTATGGTGACCTGCATACACAAACAATTTAAATACATATATTAAAATTAAATTCAAAGTTATGTATATAAAACAGAGAAATTTACATATACACATACACACACACATATATACATATATATAAGCATGCATTTATTGAATACTATTATAATATTATATTATATATTATAATACTATTATATATTATATTATTGGTAACTAAAATTATTACAAATAATTTATAATAATAAAAAAAAGAAATTAAATGACAAATATTTCACTTTAACTTTAAACTGAAATTAAAAAAGTTAAGTTAATTACTGAAATTAAAACTAAAATAGAAATAAAGCTAAACAGAATAAATAAAAACAAACAAAAAACTTTTTAAAAATATAAAACAAATTTGTCAACCAAGTGCTTTTGTCTTTTTTAGTTAGTTATTCGTTTTCATTGTTTTTAAATATTTGGTATTTTAAAGGTGTTTTGTGTCATTTTCGAAGCTTGACAGTCCCAGTCCCCATTATATACAAAAGATCTTCTGCTAAATATCATCTTTTGTGTTCCTCAGTTAAACAAATCAAGTTATGTACAGGTTTGGAACAACATGAAGGTCAGTAAATGATGACTGAAGTCTCATTTTTTAAGCGAACCATCCTTTTAACTTTGTCTACAAACATGTAAACATAATTTAAAGCATTGATACATGCCCTAAGTAGACGGGTTCTTCTATATGTTTGGGTGGTTCTTCTACCACACCCAAAGCTGTGAGCTCAGAGTTTGGTGAAGGGAAGCAATCATTTGTTAGCAATGTGGGATTTAAGAAAGAATTAACCTGAAAAATGAAAATGGAATCATTTACTCATCCTTGTGTATCATTCCAAACCTTATTTTCATGGAATACAAAAGGATAGAAAACTTCTCAAATTTCATCCATTTCTGCATTTAAATATGGCACATCAAACTGTATCATGCCAGATTTGATATTATGAAATCATAAAAAAAAAAAATCAATGACAACAAAATCTGGCATACAATTGAATTAAATGCAGACTTGACCACCAAATAATGACTTAAATTTCAGACTTTTCCTTATACCATCAGAAGACTTGAAATATAGCACAAATAATCAAAATTGTCTAACTCTATGGTATTTTAAAGGTGTTTTGTGTCATTTTCGAAGCTTGACAGTCCCAGTCCCCATTATATACAAAAGATCTTCTGCTAAATATCATCTTTTGTGTTCCTCAGTTAAACAAATCAAGTTATGTACAGGTTTGGAACAACATGAAGGTCAGTAAATGATGACTGAAGTCTCTTTTTTTTTTTAAGCGAACAATCCCTTTAACTTTGTCTACAAACGTGTAAACAATTTAAAGCATTGATAAATGCCCTAAGTAGACGGGTTCTTCTATATGTTTGGGTGGTTCTTCTACCACACCCACAGCTGTGAGCTCAGTTTGGTGAAGGGATAATGATGTTTGTGGAGGCTTACTGAAAAACACCACAGCTTACAGTCCAACCCAAGCATGTCATCTTTAGTTTATATGCATCATATAAGCACAAACGTTTTGGGTTTCAAAACACATTCCAGGTGCATGAGTGCGTTCCTCACCCTTTTGTCCACTTCTCTCGCGGGTCTTTGTAAATCTCTCCTGATCCTAGTCCTGTTGTGTTTCCAGTGTATGAATTAAATCCTGTTTCAATTTTGTCAAATGTAAAAACAACGTGAATTTCACAAGAAACATCAACAATGTCATTTCAAGAGCGATTAGCAAGATAATTGCAAAAGCTGCTGGGCTCATTATGGTGACCTGCATGTATACACAATTTAAATACATATATTAAAATTAAATTCAAAGTTATGTATATAAAACAGAGAAATTTACATATACACATACACACACACATATATACATATATATATATATATAAACATGCATTTATTGAATACTATTATAATATTATATTATATATTATAATACTATTATATATTATATTATTGGTAACTAAAATTATTACAAATAATTTATAATAATAAAAAAAAGAAATTAAATGACAAATATTTCACTTTAACTTTAAACTGAAATTAAAAAAGTTAAGTTAATTACTGAAATTAAAACTAAAATAGAAATAAAGCTAAACAGAATAAATAAAAACAAACAAAAAACTTTTTAAAAATATAAAACAAATTTGTCAACCAAGTGCTTTTGTCTTTTTTAGTTAGTTATTCGTTTTCATTGTTTTTAAATATTTCTGTTTAACTTTGTTGTTATTTTACTTTTAGTAATTTTACTTCTCAACCTTATTTTCATTTACTTGCCAAGGTAAGATTTCACTTTTTTTTAAGTTTTAAGTCAAGTTAAAGTTTTTCTTGTAATATTTGTGTGTGTGTGTGTGTGTGTGTGTATATATATAGTTTTTCAAGTAATATTTATTTCATTTCAGCTTTATTTCAATTACAATTTAATTTCAATTTGATTATCAATAGTTTTAGTTACTAATATGTTAATACCACATAAATATGTTAATAATTTAATAACATACTTTAAACTTCTATATAAATATACAGTACATCATTTTTGTTGACTTATCCCCATAGCATAGACTTAATGTTCAACCGTGCAGTTCAACCACACCATTGGCCCAGCAACTTCTGTTTTCAACATCACTCCACAGACCAGAAGCTGAACAGCGAGAAGAAAGCTGGTTTAGTTAGTGTTAAAGCATTCCAAAGCACACTTGACACGAGGTCTGTGGATCACAGGTCAGAGGTGGAGGTCAAGCACCAGCCGTTTCTAAACTGGTCTTGTGTTGAGGAACGTCTGTAAGCGAGACGCTCCCCAACTCTGCACAGCTGGCCTGTACAACGACCCCCACCGCTGACCTACCGTAGGCATCGTCTGTGAGGCTCACGTGTCCTTGTGTCTGTCAGGACGAAGGGACGGTCTGCACTGAACCAGGGAACGGCAGTTTGATTCTAACCAATGGGGTGCAAGAGCACCGCCGCAATCCAAATGCATGTGGACGGTTTCATTGATTGACTGATAATGGAATGAGTTTGGGCCGGAGGGAGAAAGACACAAACACATTGACTTGTGAACCAAAAAAACCTTCTCCACTGGTGACGACCAAGTACTTCAAGAGCAAAACAGGGCAGCTGGTGGTTTAGAAAGAAAGAAAAGGCTTAATTAGAAGCAAAGGTTTTTGTTTCTGAGGCCAAATGTGTTTCATACTGTGGTTTTGAATACAATACAAAATACGAAGCAATGGTCTATATTTGTTTGTATGTTTGAATCAAGCTGTTCAGTTTGTATTCATAAAACCTGGAAGAGAATGACTGATGACTCCCTCAGGAACATTTAAGGGTTTTTAACGGTGGTTTTTGATTTCTGAGCAAATTAAGATCCGTGGTTCACATTACTTAAAGACATTTTACTATCAAAATGTCCGCAGTCAGATCTCAAAAATAAATGTTGAAACCTTTGTTTGCTTTATAATTGTAAGTTTTGACATAAGCACTACAAGGATTTGCCAAGTATGTAAACTCACATTTTTATTGCAGTTATAATCCTTTGTGTACACAGACAAATATGCAAAAATTTTACCTTTATGGGTACAACAGCTTGTTGCTGTTTTTTTTTTCAATTTGCTGAAATTGAAATTTGTGTTTTGAACGTAGTTTATTAATGTATAACACTAGTTACATACAAAGTAATATTTTTACGTTTTTCAGTATTTCATTTCAGTATGTTTTATCATCAATTAAACTGTATCCTTAAGGAAATTAATTGTACCTTTGAAAAAGAATGCAATAAATAAATTTTTAATCATCATATAATATATATTAACCATTTAGGGGTAAATTAGTAAATAACTGCCCTAGTGACAAGCTCTTGCACCCCTAAAGGAACAAAAGGTCAATTTGTACTTTTTTTTCCTTAGACGGTGTGTCTCCATTTGAGGCACGATTGTGTATAAATTGTCAAATAAAATAAAATAAAGAAGAATTTTTTTAAAGTTATGTTGACCAAACACCTTACTTTACTCAAAAATTAAAAAATGCTTTCTAAAAACCCATTAAAAATTCCCATGGGAACTCATGGCACATTAGCCTACAAACTAATGCCATGGCTGAACAGACTTTACAGTAGTATATGGCAGTGCAATTTATTTTTTTACTTTCCTTAAATCCTGCAAAGCCAAAAAAAGTAACTTTTTTATTTATTTAACAATAAAGCAGAAAATGAACATTAAAGACTGAAAGTCCACAGCTTGTGATCCTTTTTGCTCAGAGACTTGGTGGTTCCAGCAGGTCGATGCACCTTCTCAGAGAAGGTGATGGGAGGGGCTGTGGAATCCCATGATTCCATGCAGTCCAATGTGAGAGGAAGCAGGGGAGGGTGGGTGGAGCCAAGCAAATGATGATGCCAAACACACATATAAAGACAAACCAAAGAGCAAGACAGCAGACAGACAGAAGATAAGAGGGAGAACTACAACACCGCTGAAACCAAGCAAAATCAATACTGTCAATGCTAAAGCTCTGTTCCATAACCTAGTGAGTTGCCTTTTAAGGCGGCATATTAAGTGAGACGGAAACTCAAAAGTGACTGGTTTGAGGTGCTACACAGGCAGCAACTCAAAGATAGCATGCTATTCTAACAGCGTGATTTAATACACTATTCATTTCATACATAATTAAATCATTTTTTTCTGTAATGAACTAACATAAATATAACAATAATTAATTTATATGTATACTTAAAAAAAATTATATATTATGTAAATTATTATTATTATGCATGCTTAATATTAATGTATTTATATTTTCAGTTAAAATTCTAATATTTTAAATAACATTTTATAATAAAACATTTTATTGAATACATATATGCATATATACACATATATGTTATCAGGTATTTTTAAGTTTCAAGTTAAGTTAATTATGTAAATTCTATATATTTACATACACTTAAATATGTGTGTGTGCATATGTATATATGTACATATATATGCATATATATATCAAAATCTTGTTTTTATATATTTGTCAGTAATTAGTGAAATATTTATATTAACATTTATTATTATTATACATATTTTTTTGTAATTCTTATTTATTATTAACATTATATTAACATTTATCTAGACTTGTCCACCATCTTGGATTACATTCTATACTAGTCAAAGAGATGTTTCCTTACAACAGTTCCCTAAGTAGGCAGCTTACTAGGTTTTGGAATCAAGTCTAAATGTAAAGGCAAAAAAATCAAAGGGTGTGTATGAAATATCTACAGTGCACTAGACTGGTGGCAACACAGCACTAGTGTTTTGCTGAGAGGCTGTTAGATTGAACTGGTTTCGGTTCCATGAGAAGCTTCAGCAGAGTTGCAGACAGGTATGACGATGTTGATTTGGTAAGAGACACATTAAGCAAAGCAGCAGCGACTGCAGCGGTTGATTCATGGCTTGAAAAGCTACAGTCAGTCTGAGCATGGAGGAATGCCGTGCTTTTGATTGGTTGATTAATGCAAAGTTAGTTCCTTGGTAAGCGTAAATGCATTTTTCATCACAACAGGCCCCAATGACATTAAGTGGGGGGAAGCTTTGTGCAGATTACATGCAAGGTCAGATACACTGGGCATCTTAGTGAAATAGGGTTGAACTGCTTTTTTTTTTTGCACATGACTGTTTAAAAGTTTGACATCTGATATGCTGCATAAGTTACTTTAAAAGTACAGACAATCGCAATTTCTTTAAAAAAAACAAAATTAAAAGTTTGAAAAAAAGTTAAACAAGGACTCAACAGCTACATTTTTCCTCAGTAATAAACTTAAGAAAAGTGCTTGGTGATTAAAATAAAAATATGAATATAATAAAGTATTTATTTAAATAGCATTCATATATTAAAATACAATAACTATAAAATAATATAAATCATAATAATTCTTGCATAATTATTTAATACAATTAGTTTGAGGAAAAAATACTGAGTGCAATTTCAAAGTTATATGAACTTGAAACTGATATAAAATATTACTTGATGTTAAAACTTGTGTTGTACTTTAATAATCTACTTTTAAAACATCTAATTTTTTCACACAGTTTTGACTTGCACTCATGTAAAATGAACACTTGAGGGAGGCAAACAAAAAAAAAATTTCAGAGACTGTCTGCACCAAGATTGCTATTGTCCCAGTGCTGTACAACCAATTCAGATGGCTTTTAAACAGTCAAGTACAAAAAAGCGCCTCATCCGACAGATCTTTTCCCCTTTGCCAAGTGTAAACAGGACTGAGGAGAGGTGCAGTGTTGAGCCCACCACTGCAAGTGACAAGAAGCCAGTGTCTCGTTCCCTGAGCTGATAATGGACGGGCAGGCGTCTAGCTGCCGAGGCCCGGCCTACCCCAAAGCAGATCACACACACACATGAAACGGCTGGCAACACCAACAGTACTTGGACTGATTTTGGACCGCACAGCTAATCACGAGGTCTACTGACTGTTTGTACGGCACTAGGATGATTCGAGGAAGAGGAATCGGGGAGAATAGGTGATCGGAAAACAAACAAACAAAAATCTAATTACTATTTAAAAGGAATACTCCAGGTTCAATACAAGTTAAGCTCAATCGATAGCAATTGTTGCATGAAATAAGTTTGATACCTTTAAATAAAACTGAAAATAAATATTAATAATAATAATGTATTGCATTTAAATTAAGGTTAAAATTATGTTCTTATAGCTCAAGGCAACAGTCTGGCAAACTACCAGCTGAACTCAATGTAAACAAGGAAGTTATGTCACACTGCTTATATTCTTGCATAAACATTTAGCAAAAAAAGTTATGTACTATAGTTTATAGGCTTTTTACAGCAGTTATATCATCATGACAACAAAGTTTGGATGTAACTTTATACCCAGACAAGGTCAGCAAGCGATTTTATCACACAAGCCTTACATTAACACATAAAAAAAAGTGTTTTCTTTTAACATGTATACCGTTCAGAAGTTTGGGGCCGATAAGGTTTTTATTTATTGTTTTTGAAAGAAGTCTCTGATACTCACCAAGGCTGTATTTATTTGATTGACACTACAGCAAAAACAGTAATATCGTGAAATATTATTACAATTTAAAATAACTGTTTTCTATTTGAATATATTGTAAAATGTAATTTATTCCTGGGATGGCAAAACTACATTTTCAGAAATCCTTCAGAAATCATTCTAATATGCCAATTTTGTGCTCAATAAATATTTTTGATGATCAATGTTGACAACAGTTGTACTACTTAAAATTTTTGTGAAAACAGCAATACATTGATGATATATGATATATGTTACTGAGCCCAAACTTTTAAGCGGTAGCCAATATTGTCAGTTAATCCAACAACTGCAGTCAGTTGAGCTCAACCTGAACCTAGAAGATTCCCTGTAAAAGGAAGGATAAAATGAAAAAACTAAATAAAAATAAATTATAGAAACCAGGACATATGATTCGACTGATTGGCTTTGATACTACGAAATTGTACAGATAGAAAGGTAGAGGGAATGTGGAAAACGGAGAGCGCTGAGTCTCCACTGGAAAACAGGAAAAGGAACAAACGAACACCAAAAAAAAACAAAACATGAAAACGAATGAACCAATAACAAATGGAGGATGAGCGGGCTGAGGTGGGGCCCTTTTCTCTCCTCAGCGTCTCTACCTTTCGAGTTGGCCGATGGGATGAAGCTGGGTTTGGCGGGAGGGAGAGGGGGCTGCCCTGCCTTGGGAGCAGTACTGTTGGCATTGCCTCGTGCTGCCGGCGCCGCTCTGCCTCCAGGCGGGTGTAGTACTCTTCCTCCTGTCTCCTCTGAAGGGGGGAACATGGGAAGAGCTGGTTAGAGCTGCCTATGCTAGCCCGCGCCGCTGCGAGGCCTGGGTCAAAGCTAACGCTGCTCTGGCTAATGGATGCACCAATGTAGTACAGCTACATTGTAGTAGAAGAAATGTGTTTGCTGATATGATGTAATGTGCTTCTGAGTGAATCGAGTAGTTAAAACGGACTCCTGCATGTTGGGGAAAGTAAGCCATTGGTTTTATTTAACATGGCTACACTGCAAGCAAGCAACGTCGCAAACTAGACGGAAATCAACAGCGCTGTCTATACTGAAGTGCTGCTTGTAGCATAGAGAGTTTTGTTGATTATAATGCAAGTGGTTTTTGCAAATTCAGTCCACTTTGCAGCTTATTCTGGCCAGGAAATGTCAGGCTGAATGACATGAAAAGCAAACAATCATTTTGGGGTGGTTTTATCTGAAACAGGCCTGTGCGAGGGGGGAGAAAAGGTAAAAATTTAAATCAAAATTTAAAATGCATTTTTTTTTTTTTTAAAGAAATGTGAGCAATCTAAATGTTTGATAAAGTGAATATTCAATAAAACATTTAAATATTTACAAAATGTTAAATTCATATTTTACTATAATTTATAGAATATATGAATTAATGAATGAATCATATTAATATAATTATATGAATTCATATATTAAATGGTCCATAATAATTTCTATAGGAAATGTCATTTTTGAGTGACATGAAAAGGGACTTTTTTTTGTTTTACTGTTCAATTCAGAGGTGAGTTCATCTGAAATAGTTGATAATAGAAATAGTCTGTTGTCAGGAAAAAGTTGTAAAAAATATTTTTTAAAAATATGACATTTAAAAATACATTTAATGAAACATTTTATAAAATTGAGAAACTATATTAAATATTGAATTTAGAATCTTTATTAATATAAATATTATTTATCAATATTAATTAATATATTAGTATGGTCCGCATCCACTTGTACAGAAAAAAACAACAACATAAAAACAGTGGCAGTGTCTCAAAAACTTCTGTGCGTCAAAAAGTAATATGTACAGATTACATACAGAATAGTGTTTAAACACCTAAAAAATCCACTGATTAAACCTTCTTTATAAATGCTAATTGTATGAATGCTATCTAGTTTAGTTGCACTGTGCTGCTTGCTTGCAGTGCAAACACTGTGTAAGACTTGACTTCGACTGTAAGCACACCAGATGGTGCTAAAGAGGAACAAGTCACTACAGTTGACAAATACGCTTAGTTCTAACTGGAATAAAACGGAGCAAACTGGAGCGTATGTTACTGTTACAAGCTCCAGTTGAAGGTCTGCTTGGCATTTGGAGAAAAACACCCAGTGGCTGGCTGCTCTGGTCTCTGTGCATGGATACCCTGGGTTAGTATGCGGTGGTGGGAATGTCTCTTATGAGAGCATGTGGAGGCAAAACACACATGAGCTAGTTCAATCTGGGACGGCCTCCACAAAACCCAAGGCGGGCCCATTTCCAACAGCACTTCCAAGCAATGTTGTATGGAATGGCAATGGTCTCCCAACAAAATGCTGGAGTGTTGTGTAAAGATCTGACATGTGACTCATGCATTTCTTTGAAGGGGATGGGGATACATCACAAACACAAGAGAGGAGATGTTGTGAAGACATGCAGTTGGACATCGCAACTGGGCTCTAAAATTACCAGTGGTCTGAAAATGACGCACAGACACAAATAAAACTGAATGGTCACATAGTGGGACAATGTTTTGGTCACATTTTAGATGTATGAATGTAAATTCAGACCACTGGTAAACTGATGACCCGCTGAGGCATTCCAAAAGTCTAACACATGGGTGTTAAACAAACTTAATTTAGCCTCGGAGAGTTAACGGATCATTACTAACTCCAGAACTGCTGTTGACCTTATTATTATCAGCACATACAGTACTGTATATATACATAGATACACATTATTTTAAATTAAGCACAAGGGGCTGTGATCTTGTACAGTCTGACACATTAAATATCAGCTGCTGTCTCCAATCACACCCACTTACCATGCACACGGAAATCGGGCAAAACCTTGAAAAAGCTTGACGTTAGCATGAATAAACAAGGCTGATCACATACGTCTCTATCAGGAAATTATGCCAAAAATCGATTTACTGCGTATGGGTACAGATATTGTTTTGGGAATTTGCCCCAAAACAAAAGCAAGAAGATCTCACTATAATTAACCTGACTAATCAATAGCAAGAGAACAGGTCTGGGACATTAAAATCTATCTGCTGTTGTCGTGACTTGCATTTAAGGCCTGGTTGAGTGGGCAAAAAAAGGAAAAGATAATCTGCATCTCATAAGAAGTGTGCTAAAACGTATCTGCAATTTGCATATTACACAAAAACTTATTTCTTGACTAAGTCCTTTGTCATCAAAATCATCTTTATTGCATTTAACTACTTATAGAAAGTTCCTAGTTGTCGCTGGTCCGTTCCGATCTCAATACCTTCTCCTCGGTCTCTCGTCTGGCTCTCTCCTCCTCTCTCCAGCGTCTCTCCTCCTCCTGTTTGGCTCGCTCTTCTGCCTCACGCTTACGGATTTCCTCCAACTGCTGTTTCCGTCGTCGCTCCTCGTCCTGCAGCTGAGGTGCACAATGCATAACCAGGGTTAGTTGAAAAACACTGGACCACAGAGATGATGGATTGGACTGACTGCAATTCATGGTCCTAAACATAAAAGACTGATTTGAAATTAAAATGATCCTAAATTAAATTTACTAATAACTAATGTTGATGTCAATTTCAACCCTAGTTGTAAAACTACTGATATATTTAAACTTAAATTTAAAACTAACCCAGAAAACCGTAAACTTACACTTCCATTCAAAAGTTTGGGGTCTGTAAGATTTTGTTTTATTTTTAACAAATTAATACTTTTGTTAAGCAGGGATGCATTAAATTAATCAAAAGTGACAATAAATAAATTTTTTATTGTTACAAAATAGTTCTATTCTTCAAATAAATGCTGTTCTTTTGAGCTTTCTATTCAAAGTATCCTGAAAAAAATATAGCACTGTTTCAACAAAAACATTAAGCAGCACAACTGTTTTCAACATTGATAATAATAAATGTTTCTTGTTCACCAAATCAGCAAATCATTTCTGAATGACAGAATGATTTCTGAAGGATCATGTAACACTATAGAAAGTGATGTTGCTGAAAATTCAGCTTTACCATCACAGGAATAAATCACATTTTAAATTATATTAAAATAGAAAATATTCCACAATATTGATGTTTTTACTGTATTTTTGATCAAACATAAACATAAGTAACAAACCCAAAACTTTTGAACAGTAGTGTAACACATAACATGAACGTTAACTTATAAACCTATATTCAAACCTAACATTAAACCCAATATTACATTAAATTTTTTTAAATATTTTAAATGTTTAATTTAATGTTTGAATTTAAAATGGTAACCTAGATTAGCAAACAATTTTCAATGGTCAACCTGAGGACTAAGTCTTTCTGGTACAAAATCTTATTCAAACTAGCCTGCTGTGGTGATTTGTAAAAATGTGTTCTGTTGAGTTTCTATCACACCAGTAAATTTGTCAATGTGGCCCCTGTGATGAGAGGCATCATGCACTGCACACCATCACACACAGAATCACATGCACATACACAGCTGCATGCAAAACAACTTACTGACAGAATTGCAACTTGCAACCTTCTTCACATCTACAGAAAATCATTCAAAAGGTAATCCAAACACCTCGATCAAACTTCATACACAATACATATACAATTCTCGACAGGTAAGGAAATACAAATCACGGCCATACACCTTTTCCCTCCAAAATCAGAAGGAAGCAGACATATACAGAGACGTGTCCAGTAGTCAGGATAGGGGAAGAGGAAACCCAGCAGAGAAAACCATGGAGAAACGCAGAGTAAATGAGCGGCAAAGGGCCAGGGTCAATACAGACACGCAGAGAGCAGTGATGAGTGGAGTAGATGAAGTAACAGGAATGGTGATCATGGCACAGAAATGAGGCCCACATGCAAGCAAGCTCAGGGCCGGAGAGACCGGGCTGGAAGAAAGCATGCGCCAACCCACCCCTCATGATGACACTGCACTGAAACAACGGCTGCCAAACCAGCAGAGCTTTATCATGTTCTCCAAGAAGAAAAAGAACTTCCAAAGCTTTCTTTGGAATGCATTTGCTGGTTTTCTAGGAGCAAATGTTCTTATTCACAAGGTTGCTGTCCTGTGCACATTTAAAGCTGAAGTGTTATATATATATATATATATATATATATATTAAAGGAATAATAAATACAGCATTCATGGCATAATGCCGAGTATCACTAAAATTAGTTTTAACTAGTAGCTCTATTTCAAAAACCTGGGTTACAGTGAGACATTTAAAATGGAAGTGAATGGGGCGTTAAAATGCTGGAAAAAAACATTTAACCTTTTTTTGTTAATTTATATCCGATTTTACAATTTTGTTACCATGAAAACAACTCCATGAACCCGAAAGTGATCATAAAAATGAAAAGAACAACTTTACAAATCAAATAATACAGAAGTTTTAGCTTAGGACATGAAGTCACCTTATTAAACTATAAGCTTAATATTCTTGCTTTTAACCAGCATTCATATAAAATGGACCCATTCATTTCTATTGTAAACACATCACTGTAACCCAGATTTTTGCTTTTTAAATAAATATATAAATACATAAACCATATAAGGGATGAATCAAAATTATTTTAAATATCTTAATACTTATCTATCTTAATTATTTAAATAATTAAGATAATTTAAATGTATTTAAACTATTTTTTAAGAAAATGAGGGGTGACTAAATTATTTTAATTACCTTAAATAAAAACAAATATTAAGAATTATTCTTTTTTAAGAAATATGAAGGGTGAGTAAATTATTTTCATCCTCTTATTTTATAATTAAGAATAATTATTTAAATCATTTAAGACAAATAAATTATTTTAGTTATCTCAATATTTAATCATCTTAATTATTTTAACAATGAAAAATAATTACTTGTATGTAGGCTCATTTCTCTAGAAAGTATCATTTTTTTCAACCTCAACCAATGGCATGAGCTTGAGGTCAGGACTAACTGTTCGCCTGACTAATGGAAGATGGAAACTATTTATTCCATTTGGTGACACTGGCTTAGAAAGGACAAACTTCAGCTTTAAAAATTTATTTTCTGTGATGCCTTTCCTTAGAGATCCATTCAGCTCATCTTTACGTTTAGATATTGTTCTAACGCAGCAGTTTTCCAGTGGAGCATAATGAACATCCCAAGATGGAGTCCCCAAGATGGTGTCCCATGCTTGAAAAAGTGGTACATCTCTCTCTAAATAATACCCATGGGTAAAGGAGTTACCACGGCCAAATGAAGAAAGGGAGGTAGTGAACAAGAGGAGACACAGGTGGAGCCGAAACAGGAAGATAGGCAAAGAGCATAAAGAACATACCAAGTCTAGTACAGAGATTGCTGGAACAGCAGTCTGCTGCAGGAGAAACAAAAACATACAGAGCAACCAAAGGGTTGGGAGAGAGAGAATAAAAAAGTAGTAAGAAATAAAGAAAAGGAGGGGTTTTCGAGAAGATAAAAGTAAAAAAAAATTGGCGCAGTGGGCTGGGACGTAGTGATGTGCTGCCAGGAACATTCCAGGGCAGTATGGGTCTGATTAGCGCCAGCGGTCCACTTCCCTTCCACAAAAACTTCAGCTGGTGAGGAATTTCCCCATCATTCCACGTCCCCCCCACTGAAGCACTGGCAAGATTTTTCCTTCAAACACACGGGATTGTGTTGATCTTCCCTTAGACGGCTCGACCTGCCAACTCCTCAGAGATGGAGCGATATCAAAGGCAGCTTCCAGCAGTGTGCTACACACAGCAGACTCTCAGGTGGACGCTATGCTTCGCATGACAGCTGCTACGGCAGGTGTTGGAGGAAAGAACGTTAGTTTGTGCTAGCACTGAAAGACTCAGACTTGGAAAGCACACACGCCAGCCCACCAAGAAGTCAAGAGCCTGAATTAAACTGCACTAAACTCGCATGTTTTGACATTAGAGGCTCATTACAGGCTGTTTTCTGGACACAGATTAAGCCTTTAGTAACTAAAAGGGCTGGGTGATATATCTAATATTTATTTTACATCATTACATTTTTGGAGATATTAAATCAATTGGCAAATTTGAATATTGAACACATTTAGCCATTATGCATCCTAAAAATTACAACAAATCAGTTAATTTGAAAGGTACATTTCAATGATTTGAATTAGTCATTACTCAAAAATGTTAAGTTTTATAAAATATATTATTAAAAGGTTATTAATTATGTATATAAATATATTTATATATATATATATGATATTTTAAACTGTATATTGGTGCAATATATATATATATATATATATACACACACACACATTTTCTAAAATATAAAAGTTTTTAATTTTATTATTTCAACAAATGTGCAATAAAATAAATTTTTATATTTCATTTTTTCATTTTTATGTATTTTTGTAGTCTAGGTTTGCTGACTTTTTCATTATCAATATTTTTGTGTTATTACAATATTCAGTGATGTGCCTGCTTTTGATTTCATTTTAATAAATGTGCTATAGAAATAAAATGTGATTATTTAAAAAAAGTCATTAATTGTATTTACATATTTTTGAATCACCCAACCCTAGTTACTACCAAAATCAATGTTAAATCAAGTGTTAATTCTTCACAAGACTTAATATGTGCCTGAAAAGACCTTGCATGTAAAAAAAAAATATGGTCATGTCTTGTTAGAAACTGTTAGCACATTTCAAATGCTCCTGATTCTGATCCTAAGATGTTGGTTAGCCAGTAGCTACAGGTCAGAAATGATTCCATCGCTGATTTATTTTAGAAGTTAAATGAATATTTCATTTTAAATGGCAGATGAGATCAGGAGAGATGTACTGATCTGGACGAGGCAGGTTGATGCTGGTGCAAGCAGTGGAATCAGGTCCAGTGCTTGGCATCGGAAAGCCCTGCTCCTCCCCTCCGTCAGCGCAGCATATATATACAATCAGCAGTACAGCATGGAAAAGCAATGACAGGCATGTTGCAGGAGCACATGGCAAAACATTCATTATAACAGCGGAGACTAAAGCATCACGCAGAGAATCCCAGGTTTGTTGTTAATGATTCCATCACCAGTCTGTCCTGCTGCTGACTGCGGATTCAAACGTAACGCAAAAGTCTACAAACATAAAAAAAAAAAATTTAAAAAAAAGACCTTGACTTCAATCAGCATCGCAGAAGTTTACAACTAACTTCGATTCCATCTGTGCAGCAATAGGAAAATTCAAGTGTACTCAAGTAGGACTAGTTGTTTTGAAAATCTCCTGAATCTTTTGAGTCTTTCCAAAGCAGTTGAAAAACAAAATTAATACTCAATCGGCTGTGTAAGCGTGGGGAAAAAGTGCATTACCAAACCAATCATCAAGCTAACACTTAAAAGTCAACATGATAGGCATTACAACCCATTTTATCAAAATGCAATCTTGACGTACACTACCATTTCAAATTTTGGGGTTTTAAAGAAATAAATATTTTAGTTCAGCAAGGATGCATTAAATTGATCAAAGGAGACTGTTTTTTTTTTTTTTTTACCGATTTTACCGATCAAATAAATGCAGCCTTAGAGAGTATACAGGACTTTTTCAAGAATAAAAGAAGGGGGGGGACCAGATCCCAAACTTTTGAACAGTAGTGTATCTCATTTGCCGTAAACTTTATTCAAGGTTCCCACCTTTTTACCAATGAATTTCTATTATTTTCCAATCAAATATTCCAATCAAATTTTCCTTGTCATTCCTAAATAAGCAAATGCACTCACAGTGCAGTTTTTCCTTACAAAATACTTTGGACCTGAGCATAACTAGAACAATTTAAACTTAATCTTAAAGATGACTTTAAGATGTTTTTCATTTCACTGAATTTTCCTGGCCTGGAAATCACAATTTTAAATGTTTTGTCGTTGGAACCACTGGACCCTGTGTATTACACCACCATTAAATCTCACATTACAGCAATCAGCAAAAATTTTATATTTTACTATAGCTTAATATGCAGTGACAACTACTATACCATTTGTAGATTAGTTACTGGGTGGTTCCAGATGTGGAATAAGTTTACAAAGACTTTTACGGATAAATCATTCCCAATTAGACCAAAACCTTGCATTAAAGGGTTAGTTCACCGCAAAATGAAAAGCATGCTGTGATCTTCGTCATCCTCCTCCTCCTCATCCTCCTCGTTCTGCTTGGACTCCTGCAGTCTCTTCTGGAACTGCCACTCCAGCATGAGTTTGCGCAGACGGTCGTTCTCCTCAGCCGTGCGTTCAGGTTTGGCCTGAAGCTCCTGGATCTCCTTGTCTAGAAGGTCCACGATGTGAAGCTGCTGCTGCTTCTCCAGTTTCTCTCGGGCGTCCCTTTTCCACGGGTCGGGCGATAGGCTGTCGCTGGCGGACAGCTCCTCTTTGCTGATGGTGAGGTATTGCAGGTCACGTCTTTCGATGGTGCGTGGCTGCTGCTGGGGCAAGAGGTCACGAATTACTGTGTCCTGTGGCGGCTGGCGGGGAAGGCTGGATAGCTTGTCTGGTCGGGCGGGTTGTGGCTGTGGCGGTTGGGGCTGCTGGACTGGGGGAAGGTGCGGTTGGGGCTGCTGGACTGGGGGAAGGTACGGTTGGGGCACCTGCATGGGGGGCTGTGGATGGGGCATCTGTTGGTGCTGAGGGGCGGGCGGCAATGGGCCGTGCTGGTTGTTGTGCATGACTGGGCCGGGAGGGTTGCGAATCTGCACCAGCTTCCTCTCCTGGTCTCTTCTCTTCCTCTCTCGCTCCTCTTCAAGCCGGGCTTTTTCCTTCTCATACCAGCGCTGTTGCTCCTCGCGTTTCTTGCGTTCAACCGTGGCCACAGCGGCCGCTGCCTGTTGCTGTGTAATAGAGGGCGGTGGAGGAAGCGGCAGGTCAGTTTGTGGCTCATAGTCGTAGTGCGCAGGAGGAGGAGGAGGAGGTGGAAGATCTGAACGGGAAGGTTGGGAGACACACACGGGGCCGGAGTGGGGTGCTATCGGGGTCTTCCAGCGGCCAGGGCCGCTCTTGTGGTTGCCTTGGATCCTGGAGCCGGAAGACGACGAGTAGTTGAGGTGCTCTTGGCTGGAGGTGCTGGACTCCACCGAGGAGGACATCTGGTGGTTCCAGTGCTCCCCACTGCCTCGTTGGTACTCGGCATCACGCTGCTGCTGCTGCAGGTGCATCAGGTCTTCCTGGCGCAGGCGTTCACCTGGGTACCTGCCCGGCATCTCGCACAGCTCCTCCTGAGAGCGCGCCACCCGCTAGCAGGGCACAATGACACAGCAATGAGACTCATATTTATGCAAAAATGTGATATATATGTAACATTAATGTTGCTCATAGCCTTAAAAAGCTAGTACAGTAATGCATAAAATTTGTTTTGCAGACAAATTTTAATTGGGCCTACATAGGAATTACACATGAAAAAGTAGGCCCAAATTTAATAGATATACCAAAGTAAAACTAGAAAAATAAATATGATTAATGTTATAATCTCAAATGACAAAATGTTAGATTATTATTATTTTTTTCATTTGAAAAGCACATTTAAAGAATGCTGTCCTTAGGTATGCTTAATATAATTTAAGTTACTAGTTAGATAATGCACAATTAAACTAAATTAAAAAAATTCAACTAAATAAAAAAAAATAAAAAAAATAAATAAATAAATATGAAAAAACAACAACTGATAACTGATTTTTGAACAATAACTGATTTTTAAACTGTCATTTTGGCAAAGCAAATTAGAAAGCAACAATATACACTACAGATAAAAAAGCTTGCAGTCGGTAGTTTTCTTTTTCTTTTTTTGATGTTCTTAAAAGAAGTATCTTATGCTTACGACGTGCTAATCTTAGGCTGCATTTACTTGATCAAAAATATAGTAAAAACGGTAATATTGTGAAATATTACAATTTAAAGCAACTGTTTTCTATTTTAATATATCTTAAAACAATTTACTCCTGTGATGCTAAGCTGAATTTTCAGCAGCCTTTCCTTCAGTCTTCAGTATATTTTCAAGATTCATGATTCATGTTTTTGAGATTCTTTGAAGAATATAAACTTCAAAAGAGCAGCATTTATATGAAATATAAATCTTTTGTAACATTATAAAGGTCTTTACTGTCACTTTTGATCAATTTAGTGCATCCTTGCTGAATACAAGTATTAATTTCTTTCAAAATAATCTTACTGATCTCAATTTTTTAAATGGTAGTGTTCATTATAACAATATAGGATACTATACATTATCTTACCAATCAATAAATAAACAAACAAACATGAAATAATGTACAGTTAGTGTGCTAGTGTTGAAAAATACTGTGGTACTGCCAGTGTTTTGAGTCATGATACCACTATGGCACAAGGACACCACACAGCACTCATATGCTTTCTCTTCCTAAAAAGGCTAACCTGTATAGCCATGCTGTTGTTCGAGTGGTTATCCATAGGGGGGAGAGGCTCCGGTTCATTGTTTTGCCAGGGCTGGCCAGGGCCCATCCTATCCTGAGATTTGGAGGCTGGGAAGGTGAAGTATTCCCTTGGGTATGTCTGAGTGGGGATGGGATACGCCTCTGGATGGGGTGGAGAGGGCTCCTCCTGTGGTACAAACAGGGTAAAGACAGATTAGACTGAGCTGTGACAGTCTAGATTAATTTTCGATCTCTTTTTAGTGCATTATTATTGATTACAGAAACTAGTATAAGAGTTTGCATGTACAGCATGTGTATAAATCAAAGAGACTCAAGGAATGTGGATCAAAGACTGATTAGCCAATCAGATGGTGGTTACAGACATGATTATGATTAATTACAAGAAGAACACAAAGTCACGAATCAGGTTTTTATTAGGCTTCTATTTGGCTGTGGTTTCAGAAAGAAAAAACATGTTCTGGTGTGTGTTTGGATTTGAGAGTTTCTGGTGATTTGATTAAAACCAGAGGAGGCTTCATTGAAGAAGACCCAACCACATCACAAGAAAGTGCAACACATTTTAGCATTAACTATTCTCGTGTGCTTCTGGATATAAAGTAGTAACACATAAAAGAGGTGGCACTACTAACTTATCTACATATTTCAGTGGTGTGTCACTAGCTCAGCAGTTTACAAAATCGTTTAGCTTCTCTAGCAATGAGTCATTTTTCCAATTAACTAGGTAGCATGACAAAACACTACGATTCACTTTAGGGTTGGTTCAAAAGGTTCATTGCAATTTGTTGAGGTCACACAACAGTGTTCCCAGAAGTCCAGTGAAGCAATCTTAACGTCCTCTTTTTTCAAACAAAATATATTTTTAGTCAAACACTGCTATTTATATGTTTTCAATTCAGTTATAGAGTGTAGGTTGCTGTTATTGTCCTCAAAAATAGCTTCAATATAGCTGAAGTAGCCACTTACTCGCACTTATTCGGAATAGTATGGAATTTATTAAGTTCTACGTAAGTATTTCATTGATTTACTAAAAAGAACCAGCTCGTAAGAATAATTTGCTTAAGAACTTGTTAAACTACACTAGTCATGCTGTATGCTTTGATTCACTAAAAAGAACCAACTCATAAGACTCATCCATTTGGAAAGTGGTTGAACTATACTTTTCATATAGTATTTTTTTTTAATCGTTAAAAAGAACCAGCTCATAAGAGCAATTTGTTTGTGAATCGATTAAACTACACTGGCCATGCTGTATGTTTCTGATTCAGCAAATAAGGAATCAACTCTTAAGATCTGTTTGCTTGAGAATCGACGGGACTGTACTGGGGCTTTCATGACCGGAAGATCTGAAGATGGCGCCATTGTGGGTGTTGGCTTGCCGTCGCCTATTATTTTTAATATCACAATGTCTGGTCCAGTTCAGAAATCACTTTCCTCACGGTCTGTTTCTCGTGTTGTCACCTCTGATACAGCCAGTCTTTTCTCTGAGGCCTTCTCTTCTCTGTCTGAAAGTGTGTTAAAACTTCCTGACTCAGATCTTGGAATAGAAGAGATGATAACGCTTTTTAATAATGCCTGCTCTTGTGTTTTAGATTCTGTTGCTCCTTTTAAAGTTTCAAAACTCAAACGAAGGTCAGAACCTTGGATAAATAGTAATATACGAGTTCTCAGACAGGAATGTAGGAAAGCTGAGCGCAAATGGAAGAAAGACAAACTGCAAGTGTCTTACGAACTCTTGAAAAATGCTCTTTCTGCCTACCAGCATTCTGTAAAAAACACAAAAACTGAATATCTTTCTGAATTAATATCTAAAAATTCACATAATCCAAAAATTCTGTTTAATACGTTAAATACTATTTTTTCTCCTGCTAACACTTCTGGTCTGGACAGTACTCCAGAGACCTGCGCAGCATTCCTACATTCTTTTATGGGAAAGGTGGACGCCATACGGTCTACTGTTACAATGAAATGTATGTTTGTGTATGTTAATGTGTTTTGTATTGATTATGTGTTTTTGAGTCATTTCTTTTATTCTCTTAATCTCTATATTTACTTTATTGGTATATGTTCAGCACTTTGGCATACACTAGCTGTTTTTAAATGTGCTATATAAATAAACTGACCTTGACCTTGTACTTATCACATGGTATGTTTTTAATTAATTTTAAAAAATGAATCATTTGTTTAGGAACTGGTTAAACTATACTGGTCATGCTGTATGTTTTGATTTGACAAAAAAGAATCAAGTCATAAGACTCATTTGTTTGGGAATCGGTTGGACTATACTTTTCACATGGTAGGTTTTTAATTTGCCAAGAAGAATCAAGTCAAAAGACTCATTTGTTCAGGAACTGGTTGGACTGTACTTTTCACACTGTACTGTATGTTTCCAACTCATGCCTTGATCTGTACTTTTCACGAGGTATACTTTTGAATTGTTAAAAAAAACAGCTCATAAGAATCATTTGTTCTGGAATCAGTTTACCTTTTTCCACTGATTCACTTATTTGTTTAAAAAGGAGTTAGACGACACAGGTTGCACTGTAGATCCAATGCCAGTGTTGCTAAATAGCAGTGCTAGAAACACTCTTAATTCACTAGGGAAAGAGAGTTTCGGCACACATGTGCAACATTCATCTTAGAGGTGCCGATTGTGTGTACTCACATCAGGACAGAGGTTACCCGTCGAGACCGAAGTGATCTTTCCTGGGGCTCCTGGGTAAACAGGCTTCCCGCCTGGACTATGGGCCTGGTCTTTGAGGAAAAAAAAAGTACACGTTAATATAGGCCTGGGCAATAAAATGGTATCGATATTTATCGACGGTACACCTTCTTCGATAACGATATAAAAAATGTTCGATATAGTCACGCGCTATGAGTGACACAGACAGCACACACAAACATGAACACATGCTGAATTGAGTGCTGTGCCTGCGATGAGGAGATTGTGAATAAAAAAAATGAATATTAGTCGAATTTAAAATAAACATTTGCATTTGAATGTTAGGTGTGCATCAGGGAGCTGTCATCAGAGGCGCGCGAGATGCTGTGATGATGTAAGTGATGTTGTTGCATTTGAATGTTTTGTTAGTCTAGCCCACGAGACGCACCGCTACTGTGTTATGCATTCAAAATATTAGAGAAATATAGAAGCTCAATGCAGAGAAGATCTTGAATGGGTTAAAAGCGAAACAGATGCATATTCAGCTCACTTTTTAGACGGACAAATATGACTGCTGCACTCACACAAGAAATGTATAGAAAGCCATGCAAAGTTAAAACAGTTTAAACTTTTAGAAAAAACGTCACGAATTTGTGGAGGTTTATTCCTCTTCACTGCGTCTCATATGTTTTTAAAGGCAATCTGTGTGAATGGCGCTTCGGCTCTTTGGATTAAGCAATGCATAAATACATGATGCTGTTTTGTTCATAATTGTTTATGCAATTTACGAAATTATATTTGATTTATATGAGTTAATTTAGACAGTTATTTCCTTGCATTGACAATTTAAATGTGCCGCATTATTTTGCTCATTGCACCCTCCTGTGGCCTCGGGAGACAAGCCAAAAGATTCCTTGAGACCCATTTAATCTGCATATAAACCATTAGAAATTAGATATTTGTTTAATTTTAATTGTGTGTTTAACTGTTAAAACAAAAAATATTTGTTGTTTGTCTCAACAGTTTACAGTGGTTACATTTGAATTTTTTTTTCTATTGCTCTTTGTTTTAAAAAAGGTTATAAAAAATTTCAATAATTATCGATACAGAACAATATGAAACATTATATCGTTGATACATTTTTTAGCTATATCGTCCAGCCCTACGTTAATATAATGTCACCACTTTAAAATGAACCACACTGACAAATGTGACTCTGGACCACAAAACCAGTCTTAAGTCGCTTGGGTATATTTTTAGCAATAGCCAAAAAAACATTGTATGGGTCAAAATTATCGACTTTTCTTTTATGGCAAAAATCATTAGGATATTAAGTAAAGATCATGTTCCATGAAGATATTTTGTAAATTTCCTACCATAAATATATCAAAACGTAATTTTTGATTAGTAATATGCATTGCTAAGAACTTCATTTGGACAACTTTAAAGGCGATTTTCTCAATATTTAGATTTTTTAGCACCCTCAGATTCCAGATTTTCAAATAATTGTATCT